CAATGACGTCATTACGTCGAGCGTAAAAGAACCGGTGAACCGGTTTTTTCAACCGGTTCATTGAAACGAACTGTCCGAAAGAACCGGGTCGCGGAAAAGAACCGGACTTCCCATCACTAGAGAGAACCAATCAGCTGCCATGTGACAATGATATCGCCAGATCAGACTGAGTTAGACCTATCGGACTGCGCCATCTAGAGTTTCATGCCAGAACTCTGTATTTATTGAATTTATGCGAACCAGACTTACATTTTCTCTGAAGCCGAGATCTCATTTACAATGTGCGCAGCCTTGGTCTTCTTCGTTTCAGTCTAAAAAAAATTAAGAAATTACTATAATAAATAACTATTCAGCTCTGATTAAATAAGTAAACAATGTATAGAAATTGTTTATATACTTTGTATATCCTGTTCTGTAATATTTCTATAAATATATAACTTTTCTTTTTTTTAGGATCAATTAAGTGTTATCTTATAATGTGTTAGAAGATTTTATAACATTTCTTAATAATGCGAATACAGTACCTGTTTTTCTCTATTGACACTGTTATCCTCATCTTCTGAGCTGTCTTCATCTTCTTCTGAATGAGTATCATCCACTTCCAGCACTTCTTCCAACACATTTCTGGAAAGAAATCAAAAGACCTCTCAGATTTTAAAGGAATGTGAGAGGAACTGAAGAGCTGTCATGAATACATCACCAAATTTCCCTTCTTCCCACCATAACAGCTACAGAACCAGGGGCCTCATTTATCAACAGTGCGTAGAAAAGGTTCTACATTTTGTCCTTATATTTACACACATTCCTACATATAAGTACAAGTTGGTAGATCACACACTTTGTGTGAAACTGTGCTTACACACTCATTACACACACATCGCACTGTTGATAAATGAGGGCCCAGAAGAGTGGATAGTTATGACTCAGAATCTGTAGTATGAATTAAATGTAGGTCAAATGTGAAATCATTCAACAACACCTGTTCAGAGTGCTGTGGCCATTCTTCAGATTCCATGTCGAATGTGTGCGTCACATAAACCAAACAAAACATGTTTTTAAGTTTGTATCGACCTTATGTTTTGTTGGTGCTGTCAGCCAGCAGGTGTCTAATTATTGCAGTATAAACAAGAAAGACAGTCCTAAACCGAACTTGACCGTCTGTCAAATTATCCAGCCTTAATTAAATTATTTTGTTACTGATATTGTGGAAAAGCATCTGAAAGTTTAATAAAAAATTTGGTTATTTTAAAATCAGGTGATATTAGTGATTTTTTTAATATATTAGTTTATTTTGTATTTTAAAAAAATCTATACAAAATAAATAATTAAAGAATGGTCTCTTTTTCAATTCATAAGTGTGAAATTCAATCTAATTGGATAAAACCCAAAGAAAATTGGAATTGGCGTTTGAATGACAGGAATATGAATTTACTAAATATGTTGCTAAAATATTTAGTAAATATGATTATATATGTAAACTAACTACAAATCATACAGCATGTAAACGTCAATATTTTTGAACCTTTTTGCAAAAAAAAAAATAATAATCAAAAATGATCTTATCTACCAAAAATTATCTACCAAACTTTGCTTTTCTAGACAGTTTTCACAGTTGAATTGTTTACATTTCGGTTCATTTTAATTCTACCTTACATTCAAATTCAAATGACAATTCTGCATTCTATTTAAAGGGGTCATATGATGCAATTTCATGGTTTCCTTTGTCTTTGAAGTGTTACAAGCTGTTCGTGCATATATAAGATCCGTAAACTCGCAAAGATTAAAGTCTCAAACCCAAAGAGATATTCTTTCTAAAAGTTAAGACTCATCCACGCCTTCCTAAAACGCCTTGTTTAAACACGCCCCCACATGTCTAAATCACTGTGTTGGAAGATTTGCATAACGCCGCCCAATTTCTTTGCGTTTTCTTTGCAAAACGCAAAGAAAGAAGGCGTAACTTTTATTCTCGCTGTAGTATTGTTGCCGCCACCTCCGTCTCATGGAGACACTGTGTGTTTCCAAATATGGTGAGGGGCGTAACATTTCCGTCACACGCTTGAGGTATTCAGCCAATCACAACGCACTAGATAGCTTGGCAATCAGAGCACACCGCGCTTTTCAGAACGATGAGCTTAGTAAAAATCGATGCGTTTCAGAAAGGCATGGCAGAGAGGAGCAACAATGTGTTTTTTGAACCGTAAACCGCTTAAACACATTGCATTACACCAAATACACAAAATAATGTTCTTTTTAGCAACGTCATATGACCCCTTTAAA